CACAAAGACATTAAAGCCAACTTGAAGGGGCTCTCAGTGACAAAATTTCTGAGCAACAGAAAAGAATTACTTAAATAAGTTTAAATACTAGCTATGTTAAAATTCATGTATACATGAAGATGATTAAAAAAACCTTACTCATCTTTGTAGAAAGGTAAAACAAGTAAATAAAAGGAAAGATACAATCATTTATGGACTATTTTTCAGGGAAACTAAATAGTTTTTTTTTTAAGATTTTATTTATTTATTTGACAGAGATCACAAGTAGGCAGAGAGGCAGGCAGAGAGAGAGGGGGAAGCCGGCTCCTCACTGAGCAGAGAGCCCAATGCGGGGCTCGATCCCAGGACTCTGGGATCATGACCTGAGCCAAAGGCAGAGGCTTTCACCCACTGAGCGACCCAGGTGCCCCAAAACTAAATAGTTGATAAGGGAAAGTTCTCCTTTGTTGAATTCTAGTTAATAAATACAGAGGGAGTGGTAAAATTAGAAATAATGAACAGAGGCAGTGATCAGTCAAAACGTAGGGGAGTGGAGAACTTCATAAAGGAAGAATTAGGCTGACAATAGCTAAACATAATACCATACAAAAAGAGACAACCAGACATTATCTGCCTCTTGTCACAAGAGGATGTATTCCTATGAAATGTTCTTGTCAGGAAGGTGAACACCAATCTGGGGAAGCCTCTACATCACAGCTGTCCCACAGAACCTTCTGTGGTGATGGAAATGTTTTTGTGTGCTATCCCATACATAGCTATTGAGCACTTGGCCAGTGAGACTGAGGAACTGACTTTTCCATTTTAATTAATTTTAACTAATTTAAATTTAAGTAGCCACATGTAGTTAGTGGCAACCACTAACCATTTGACAAAGCAGCTACAGATCTGTCTGCTAACTTAGAGAAAATACAGGGGATAAAGGGACATGTTAAGTGACAACACGTCTTCCTGCATAATGTGTTGACCTTGTTTGCATCCTTATTCAAACAAACCAACTGTGAGACAATCAGGGAAATCTGAACTGGATAATTCATAATATTAGTAATTATTTAAAATTTTGATTTTGATCATGATGGTATTATGTTTAGGTTTTGAGAAATTGTTCTTATCTCTTAAAGATACTTACTTAAGTATTTATAGATGAAAATATACATGTTTGGGATTTTCTTTAAACAACCTAGCAGAGGGGGAGATGAATAGTGGGAGGGTGTATATGAAACAAGAGTGGTTATATGTTGATAACTGTTAAAAGTGAGTGATGGGTATATGGGTATTCATCATAATGTTCTATTTTTGTAAAGTTTGAAAATTTCCACCACAAAATGTGTTAACAAATGAAGGAATAAATAAAACCTGGAATTAAACCAATAATATATACATACATCCTATGTGCTATTATGCAACTCCTAAAAAGAAAGCATTGGATCTCAAATATATCATGGAAAGATAGCTAAGTTACATGAAATCAAGAAGGGGTGTTGAGGAATAATTGCTATGGTTTGAAGGCTTTTGTCCCCACAAAATTCCTATGTTGAAATCCTAACCCCCGTTGGTGATAGTATTAGTAGGTGGGGCCTTTGGGAGGTGATCATGTCAGGAAAATGGAACCCTCATGAATGGAATTAGTGTGTTTATTAAAGGGATCCTACAGAGCTCCCTTGTCCCATCCACCATATGAGGACACAAGAAGTCTGTGATCTGGAGAGGATCCTCACCCAACCATGCTGAAACCCTTATCCTGAACATCCGGCCTCCAGAAATGTGAGAAATAAATTTCTGTTGTTTATAAGCTACACAATCTGTACTGATTTTCTTACAACAGCCCGAACAGGCTAAGAGAGCACTATATGAAGTGTGCCCCTATTTATGTAAACAAAAAGATGTAGTCATGTGTATATATGTTTGTAAGGAAATAGCTGCCGTTTTACTGTGCAAGTCCATTGCTTAGAGTATATTTACAAAACTACTTTTAGACATCCATAAGGATATATGTACAAATATTCTTACTGTAGCAGTCTGATCAGGCTGCCATAACAAAATACCACAGATTGGGTGACTTAAACCACAGAAATTTATTTCTTAGTTTTTGAGGCTGGGTGAAGGTGCCTGCTGATTCAGTTTCTGGAAAGAGCTCTTTTCTGCCTTGCAGATGGCTGCCTTCTCCTATATACATAGCTGAGAGAGACAGCAAGCTCTGATGTCTCTTCCTCTTCTTATAAGGACACCAGCACTATTGAATCAGGGTTCATCTTTATAACCTCATTTAACCTTTATCACTTCCTCATCGGCTTGGTCTCCAAATAAAGTCACATTGAGGGTTAGGGCTTCAACATATGAATTTGGGGCGGGACACACACACACACACACACACACACACACACACATTCAGTCCATAATATTTATTAAAGCTTTATTTCTTATAGTAAGATTATGGAGATAATTTTAGTGTCCATCAATGGAGGAATGGACAAGTAAATTATATCCATATTATGTACTAGTGTGGGGAAATGTTCTATATATTTAAATATATATGTATATGTATATATGTGTGTGTATATATATATTTATTTAAGTATAAATAAATTTCTTTTTTTTTAAGATTTTATTTATTTATTTGACAGAGATCACAAGTAGGCAGAGAGGCAGGCAGAGAGAGAGATGGAGGAAGCAGGCTCCCTGCTGAGCAGAGAGCCCCATGTGGGGTTCAATCCCAGGACCCTGAGATCATGACCTGAGCCAAAGGCAGAGGCTTTAACCCACTGAGCCACCCAGGCGTCCCACAAATTTCTTTTTTTAAAGTAGGTTCCATACCCAGCATGGAGCCCAACTCAGGGCTTGAACTCACAATCCTGAGATTAAGACCCAAACTGAGATTAAGAGTTGGACGCTTACCTGATTGAGCCGCCCAGGCACCCCTCCAAAATATATTCTTGAACAAAGCAAGCAAATTGAAAAATGCAACTTGAACAATATATGAATCATCCATATTAAAAAAAAATACAGAAGACCCTCCAACTATATCATCACTCTTTCTCTGTATAGATAGGTAGATAGATAGACAATCTGGAAGGAAAAAAAATCACACATAACTATTATGGGTGACTATTCCTTGGGAATAGGAATGGGAATGTGGAAAGAGGGGCACTCTTACTTTTCCACTTTGTATAGGCTTAACTAATTTTAATTTATTTTAAGAAGTGAGCATTTGTTATGTTTGTAAATCTGAAAAAAATGCAATAAGTAGTTTTTTTTTTTTTAACTGCTTGATTCCATGAGATAGTATCTAGATTAGGTGCTTAAAATATTTAAGAAACAAATGTATTTGTTTATATAACATGAGATATGGTTCCCACATGGCTCAGGCTCTGTGCAGAGCTGCGTTTGAATAATCATGGTCCAGAATCCAGAAAGTACAAAGTAGTTCCAATTTATACTGGCATGGGCTTAAAGAATACTAAGCTCTCCTTCTCCATTCTCCTACAGCTCCTCTTGAGACTTTCTCATGCCCAGATCTTTTTTTTTTTTTTTTGTAAGATTTTATTTTTAAATAATCTCTAATCCTCCGTTTAGTCCTCCCTCCCTTTCTCAGCCTTTCTCAACTCTTTACATATATATCCTTCTAAGTCTCAGGATTTTCTCTAGCAATTGGCCATACTCTGCATATCAAAAGATCCAAGAACCAGACTGGTGAAGACTCTTCTTCATTTGGGGGGTGGGGAACAGCTTGTTCCCTTTCACATTCTAATTTCACTGATTTCTCCAAATTTAGAATTTGATTCTGTTAGTTAATAACTGATTCACCTGTATTACAGTTTATCTTCCGAACTAGATTGTATTTGGAGAAAAGGAGGTGGGGCACCGCTCTCACTATTTTTTATTCCTTCCACAATTTCTTAAATTATTTAATCTGTTGATGTAAACAAGCTAATTAGGGGAATCCTTAAAAACGCACTAGTGTCCGGGGGGCTCCAGGGGTTGGGATCCTCTGTCACGATGTAGCTTGTTGAGAATAATAATTTCCAGACTCACTCCCAAAGAGTCTAATTGAGGCCTCTGCTTTTCTTATAAGTCGTATGTTTTCTTCACAGGTTAGAACAGTCGTAGCAATATTAAAGATTAAGAATTGCACTGCCTCAGCGACCGGACCCACACATATCCCTCCAAACTCTTTCAGAGGGATGTTAGCATTGGGCTTGGAGCTAGAGCATCCTGTCTTACCACTTCATCCATTTGGGCACTTGTCTCCAGAGTGGGAATAAGTCACATGTGCCTCACAGATCTTAACATGGGGACATATTGTGGGTATGTAGTCCTTTTAAATAAATCTTGTGTCTGGCGAAATCAACCAGGGTTGGCCCCTGCCCTGCTCATATGGAAGAGACTCACTCAGTCCCCTTTAGGCCCCCAAATGACATCAAGATGAGAGATTTCAACTTCAGAGATGTCTCCTCAGAAAGGAAAGAGCTATAAAAGCAGTTGAGTAAGTCCGAACAGCAGCTACATCTTTTCTCCCCAAGAAACAAACAGTAATCCACTGTTTCTGGCAACTGAAGCTTTAACTTTGGGGAAACAATGAACTCTGAGCCCAAGCCTTCAGGTAAGTCAAAATCCCGAGGTGGTTATGCTTGTCTGGAGACTTGAGAGGCACGAAGTGATGGAGAAAGGTGAACCGAGCCGCTCTCTGGCTCATTTACAACCGGCTCGCCCTCCCTCACTAATACAGCTAAGGGTTGCCGTCGCCATTTTGCAGGGTGGGCTGCGCAGAATCCTGGCGCTAGGCCGGCCGCCAGAGCCGGAGAGGACGTGGACGGGTTGGAGGGGGACAGCGCGCGCTACCAGGGTAAAGCACGCGTGCGCACAGGCGCCAGCGGCGGAGGGGTGGGGCCGGGGTAGGAGTGCGCGTGCTCGGTGGGAGCCCGCGAAGTACCTGGAGGAGGTGGGGGGCGAGGTAAAAAGGAGGGGCGTTGAAGAGCGCTTGCGCGAGAGACGGACCGTCCGGGGGAGGGGGCTCCCGAGCACGCGCGCGGAGACGGGAGTTGGGAAGCTCTCGCGAGATCTTCACGATGCTATATATGTGCGCAGGGAGCCCGCGTCCTTTCCCTGGTGTGATTCCGTCCTGCGCGGCTGTTCTGTGAACAGTAGTCGTTTATCTCCGTCCGCCTTCTCTCCCACCTAAGTGCGAGCCACCACCCCATGGAAGATTCGATGGATATGGACATGAGCCCCCTGAGGCCCCAGAACTATCTTTTCGGTAAGTGGTGGGAGGTTGGGGCGAGGCCGACCAGGGCCTGGTGGCTTTGAGGTGGGGGGGCGGGAATTTTCCTGAGGCCTGGGCTGGTAGAGAAAGCTAGGCACGCTAGAAGGCCTGAGGGAGGGAAGCGAGGTGCCGGGGCCCTGCAGCTTAAGAAATGGGAGGTCAGAAAAGGAGAGCTGGAGCTCGAAGCGGGGGAAGGAGGGGCAGGGGCAGCCTGAAGCCTGGGGCAGGAGCGATCCGAGGCCCGGGGCCTGAGGTAACGTAGAACCAACAGGCTGAGGGTTCGGCTTTATTTGGGGGCACGCGGTAGAGCCACGGGCATGATTTTCTCTTGGGTTCTGTGATTTCGTAGGCTTGTGACTCTTGGCTGGTGTCTTTCATGCTGGGCCCGGCCTCAGTGCTGGAGGTTGTGGGAATCCGTGGTGTGGGGCATGGTCTTGTTTTCTGGGGGAAAAGGGTATTTAGAGCCTGGCGTTGTCCTCGGGCCTCAGGAGTGCGGAGCTCTAGGGCGGATATTCAGCCCCGGTGCCTCGGCCAGTTGCGGGGGGAGGGGAGGCGCGGCCCGGCGTGGGGAGGCCGCAACCGCTGGGAGCACGTGGCTGCCACGTGGTTGGGGGAAGGAGGGGGTGTGGGCACTACATCCGGGTCTACCTGGTGTCTTGTCACCCCGGAGCCCGGCATCCTGGGGCTTAATTGAAGCTCTTGGGCGGGAAATGTTGGGTAGAGTGGCTGGTGGAGCCAAGATTGTGGGAGTCTTTGTTCAGTGCTTAACGTCTGTGATGGCAGTTCTCATTTATAGAGCGCTTTTTTTTGTTCTCACGTTGGTAGATTGAGTTAGCCCACTTTGCAGATGACGGTGCTGATGCGCAGAACTGAAGTGACTTAACGAAGGTTGTGCTTGTAGATTTAAACCAAGACCCTTGCCTCTAGAGCTGGTGCTTTATTTATTTTTGGAGGGAGGCTGGTGGAGACCGCCTTCTGTAACGCGTTGAGCAAACAGCTCTTTTGAAAAGATGGGAAACGTGTGTAGGGTCAATAAGGGCTAGTACTGTTTAGGAATCTTCCCCTCCCCTCTCCAGAACGCAGTACCCTGGTAGAAAGAGCCCAGCTTTGGTTTTCAGTCCTCATGAAATTGTCGAAGCTCTATCTTTTGTCAGGCTTTGAAGTAAGTGCAAATCCTGCCCCACGTTTGTTCTTTATATATCATGCTGAGATTTGTTAATTGAGATAACATTGAGGCATCTGTATACCAGTAACTGTTAGATGGCAGTTAAATGGAATCATTTTAGTTAAAATGTTATTCTGATGGTCCTTGAAACAACTTGCCTATTGATGGAATGGGAGTAGATAACTCGCACTGTACATTACGGCTTTTATTTTTAGCCGTTTTGAATAGCCAGGGTTTTTGATCATTTTATACCATATTTTTGTTTTAATCTTTTCTACTGGAACTATCCCTGGTATGTCTATTCTTAAATATAATTTTTGAGCATAATTTAATGTATATCATTTCTGTTAACTTCAGATTGGGATTTTGATCCCTGTAGTAAGTTTTGGTTCTTTTTATATTTGTGGTTTTTCTCATAAGTATAAGCTGTTCATGTAGGTGTTCGTGTAACCATTCTCCTTTTTCAGTTTGCCACTTGGGTGCTTAGGTAGGTAATTCATCTTTTTTAAATAGTAGGGTTTTATCAATACCGTACATTAGACTTAGTTTCAAGATACAGGTTTCAGTTCCAGATTTACTTGGTCTTCGGGCCTGTTTCTACCTGAAAGTGGTAATAGTAGTGTAGTAGAAAATGAGATAGTATAGTGGGAAAGTGGAATTTATAAAGCCATGTGTGGATGTTATTTGATGTTTACAGACAATTGTTCAAGAAATCCAGGAAGAGCTACTTCTGCCCTGCCTTTTGGTAGCTAGAACAGTAGAAAACTTGTTCAATCATCTTCCCTTAAGTTTTCAGTGATATTATTTGTTTTTTTGCTTTATTTACAGGTTGTGAACTAAAGGCTGACAAGGATTATCACTTTAAGGTGGATAATGATGAAAATGAACACCAGTTATCTTTAAGAACGGTATTTACATTTTCCAAAATAAACTTTTTCTTGATATCAGCCTATTTCTTTTTGTGTGACTTAACACTTCGATAATATTTTTTTATAACTGAGTATTGTATATACGTGATAGTGCACTTGGCATCTTTACCTCTCAGTTGGTAATCATGTGAAGTTCAGTCACACTAATGTTCAGCTTTCCATATTTATGTACTTTGTTTCTTTGGCTGCATTATAAAACCCTTTAGGGCAGTGATGAATCTTTTTTGTACTCTACAGTAAGGCCTGTAGCCTTACTGCCTAACTTGTGATAGGTGGCCAGTAAATGTTAGGTGATCCATACTGTCGGTAACCTACCACTATGCCATCAAATACATTTCTATGCATTTATTCAAATGTATCAAATATTAGAAATGGATTGGCAAGGCGACATAAAACTTGAATGTTGTGCACAGTAAAGTTTTTTATCAGTGGTAATACTAGTTTTATAATTGTTTTTTTTTTTCCTTTGAAGACAGATTTTGGGGGATTATAAAATGCGAACTTAAGCTGAAATGCTATTTTTGTTCACAGGTCAGTTTAGGAGCTGGTGCAAAGGATGAATTGCACATTGTTGAAGCAGAGGCAATGAATTACGAAGGCAGTCCAATTAAAGTCACACTGGCAACTTTGAAAATGTCTGTACAGCCAACGGTAAGGGCACTTAAACTTTGGAATTTATGTCAAGGTCCGATTCTATTGCATTAAAATAGATGTCATTTAACTTAGACCAAGGACTTAGAAAGGAGGAATTTCCTTTGGTTCTTACTAGTAGCAGTAGCTGTGTCTTCTTTCACTGTGGGGTTGAGTGATCAACTCTTGAACATAGTGGTTTGCTACTTGTTTGTCAGAAGTGGAAAAACAGGTTCACTGGTTTGTTCATTTGGCTTGTAATGAGTTTGCCTGTATGAGTTTGCCTGTAATGCCTATTAATGCAAACATTTTTCCAAGTTTGTCGTGTAAAGGTTTTTATACTGAACATTTAACCTTAAAAATTTCTCCTTTTTAGGTTTCCCTTGGGGGCTTTGAAATAACACCACCTGTGGTCTTACGGTTGAAATGTGGTTCAGGGCCTGTGCATATTAGTGGACAGCACTTAGTAGGTATGTTATTATGTATTAGGCTATTCATTCTCAAATGCAGTTGCTTTGTTCCCTGTTTGAACTTTGTTCAGTAGTTCTAATACTCTTGTCTTCATAATCATTCACATGGAAATAACGGGAAAAGCCCCCCCCCCTTTAAAGCCTAGGAGAGTATTAGCCTTGGAAAGTCCTTTTTAAAAAATTTCTCTGCCCTGTTTGCTATTTTTCTAGTAGATCTTTGTTTTTAAATGCTCACTACTGTATGTTACGCCTTTTTTTTCTGAGTTCTTCCTTGTCGGTTGAGTTTTAATAGTGGATAATAAATTTATTTTAGCTGTAGAGGAAGATGCAGAGTCAGAAGATGAAGAGGAAGAGGACGTGAAACTCCTTAGTATATCTGGAAAGCGTTCTGCCCCTGGAAGTGGTAGCAAGGTTCCTCAGGTAGGTGAAATTACGGTGGATATCTTACTCTGGCCTTTAGTTTGTGATTAAGGCCAGTACTTGTTCATGAGTATATGGGTGTATATATTTATATATATATTTTTTTCCTTTAAGAAAAAAGTAAAACTTGCTGCTGATGAAGATGATGATGAAGATGACGATGATGACGATGATGACGAAGAGTAAGTATAAGTAGTATGCTCTTAGAAGCTTGACAGGTGTCCGGGGGTTGGTTTATGGAAATTATTTACTACAGTTGTCCTGTGAAATTAATATAATTAAAGGGTAAATGGCCAATGGTTGTTATTTCGAGTTAAAATAGCTGAGTTAAAGAATATTACGGGATTAAGAGCCTTTACAATGCTGCAGTGTATTGCAAATTTTAAAAGAATATGCAGTATTTCCCAAATGTATTTGACTAGCTTCTTTCTTTTTCTTTTTTTTTTTTAAGATTTTATTTATTCATTTGACAGACAGAACACAAGTAGGCAGAGAGGCAGGCAGAGAGAGCGGAGGAAGCAGGCTCCCCGCTGAGCAGAGATCCCGACGCGGGGCTCGACCCCAGGACCCTGGGATCATGACCTGAGCTGAAGGCAGAGGCTTAACCCACTGAGCCACCCAGGTGCCCCAACTAGCTTTTTTCTCAGGAAGAGTTAGTGAACCTGTGATTACAGGTCTTACAGGTCTGCTGGTATGTTTTTTATTGAACGCTATATGATAAATGGTTTGGGTAGAAAGAATCTGAATAATTCCAGCTACATTCATTTGTAAGTTGTTACTTCATGGTTTTTTTCCCCCTCACAAAGATTTTGGCTTATGGTTCTTTGCTTCTTACTGGTAAAATAAGATTCTTCTAAAAGAGATTAAGATTGGGTGCTTGGAGGGGGCCTGGGTGGCTTGGTGGGTTAAGCTTCTCCCTTTGGCTTGGGGCTTGATCTCAGGGTCCTGGGATCCAGCCCCACGTCGGGCTCTCTGCTCAGCAGGGAGCCTGCTTCTCCCTCTCTGCCTGCCTCTTTGCTTACTTGTGATCTCTCTCTCTGTCAAATAAATGAAAAATGAAAAAAAAAAAAGGTGCTTGGGTGGCTCAGTCAGTTGGGTGTCTGCCTTTGGCTCGCTCAGGTCATCATTCCAGGGTCTTGGGATCAAGCCCCTCAGTAGGGAATTTGCTTCTGCACCTCGCCCTGCTTGTGGGTGTGCATGTGTGTGCGCTCACTGGCGCCCTGTCTCCCTCTCTCTCACATTCTCTTGTGAGCTCTTTCCTGTAAATACAGTATTTAGAAAAAGAGATTAAGAGGATGTTCATGGAGGATTTAAAATTGGGGTGGAAACAATTTAATGATAGATCTATTAAACTTGATCAGGCTGAGGTAGAGTTATATGCACCTAAAAAATAAAATGCTGTTTGTAATTGGTCTTTCCTATGTGCAGTAATATCAGTAACTTTTGATAAGTTGAACTTTTAATTATCTGTCAGCTTTTTTCCTGAGTTCCCAGGTTGGTCCATATATGTACATACATACACACACACACACACACACACACACACATACATACATATATAACATAATTCAAACAGAATCTAAGGTCAAACATATACTAGGTAATGATCAAATATGAGAGTTAGGTTTTCAGTAACCTCAACTAGCCAAGCTGGTAGTTATTAAAAAAGCCATTTGAGCATGGCAGTGAAGGCTGTAAAGTAGGAAAAGACAAAAGAGTTGAATGCTTTAAAAAAATGCAGGATTACCTGCATATCAGACTTAGAAACAATATAGTTGTTGTTTCACTGTTAACTACTTTGGAGCATAGTTTTTATTAGTCAGAATTAAAATGATATACCCCAGGAGAAGTATGGGAAATGGACTTAAAATAGAAATGAGAAACCTGAATGGTATATGTGTTTTGAATTTTACTTAGTCCTTGATCTCACATTACCTTTGTGCAGGTTTACTGTTTATGTCCAATAACCTATTCAGTGAGGAAACAATCCCTTCTAGGAAGGCTTTGGAGTGGGACCCAGTTGTCTTTATTCTGCTTGGGTTTTGAAAGATTTCCTGTCTTTAAAATAGGTATTTCTTGATACAACCACAGTGTAGAAGAGTTTGTGTTCTTCCAAGTTCCCTCTAAGTTGTCTTTAAGTTTGGTGGTGAGGGAGGAGTGAAATAAATACATAGAGATGTTAATCAGGGTCCAAATTACTAAGTTTTCATATAAGGGAAGAAAGGGCAGGTGGTCAGATAAATGTATAGGTAGGGATACTTAAATAAAACTGCTTGCGATAATTGGTTTTATAGAAATCCTTGTCATCTTGTTTCTGGTGTGGGGAAGAACATAACAGGAATTGGGCTTTAAAGCCAAAATTGACAGAATCACTGTTTAAATTAAAGGACAGTGTATATATAGCTTTGCCTGTACTACATGATATTTGGCAGTCATATTAATTTACCGCAGTTCTGGAAAGATGGGTGTTTTCTTGGTGCAAGTAGATGAAGTTGCTTAATTTAGAAACTAGTGTGGAAAAGAAAAAACATTTTGGCTAGTATAAAAGTTTTTGAGGTAATTAAAATATGAATTAGATTTGCTATAGGCTAATACTTACATGAACTTCTCAAATTTTTCCCTACAATTCACCAGTTTAGAATTAGAATGCACAATTCAGTGGTTCTTACATTGCATAGTTGTGCAGTCATCACCATAATTTCAGACCATTTCATTTCTTCAGAAAGGAACCATACTATAACTTAACGTTTACATTCTCCAGCTCTACTCAACCAGAATGTACTTTGTCTTTTATGGATTTGCCTATATTGGATATTTCTTGTAAATGGAATTTTACATACAGTATGTGATTGATGTCTTGAGTCTTAAAAGAACCATGCATGTTGTAGTATTACTAGTACTTGTCTTGATATTATTTGAGTTGTAAGAGGTTTTTTTGTGTTTTGGGACAAGCACCTTATCAGATACAAATATTTTCTCCCATTCTGTTGGTTGTCTTCCACTCTTGAGTGGTATCCTTTGCACAAAAGTTTTTAATACCCTCATTGCCTTCTTTGTAATTGAAGCATAGTTGACCATACAATGTCACATTAGCTTAAAGTTTTGTTTTTAATGACTTGTGAAGTCCATTTTATTTATTTTGCTGCTTGTGCGTTTGGTATTAACTTAAGAAGCAATTGCCAACTCTAGTGAAATCTTTACTGTGTTTTATATTTAGATCTTTGATAGATTTCTGAGTCCGTTTTTCTGTATGGTGTGAAGTTAGGGGGACCAACTTAAGATTCTGCATGTGGATTTCCAGTTGTCCCAGCACCATTTGTTAGGCTTCTTTTGCCATTGAATTAACAGTGTGATCACTGTTGTTGAAAATACAATTACTATAAATACATGGGTTTATTTCTGGGCTCTCCAGTTTATTAATGTGTGTGTATCGTTAACTGCTGGTAAAACACAATTTGATTTCTGTTGCTTCATAGTTTTTGTGGGTTTCTTTGAAAACACTAGGTGAATCCTCCAACTTTGTTCTTTTTCAAGATTGTTTTGGCTGCTTCAGGTTCTTCAATTTTGATACAAATTTTAGGATCCTTTTCTACAGAGAAGTCATTTGGGACTCTGAGGGACTGTGATGAATCTGTAGATTATTTTGGAGTTGCCACCTTAGAATATTTCTACTGATGTGTGAACATAAGATGTGTTTCTATTTAATTTCTTCAGACTGCGACCTCTAATTTTTTTACTCATTTATTTGTAAAAGAACACAGTATTTACCATCTTAACCATTTTTTAAGTGTGCAGTTCAGGAGTGCTAACCATATTCATACTATTGTGTAATAAATCTTAAACTCTTATCTACTTAATATTGAAAATAATACTTACTGAGTGAAAACTCCTTTCTACCATTCTCCAGCTGTCTGGAGCCACCTGGCAACCACCAATCTGCTTTTGGGTTCTTAGGAGTATAAAGATTACTTTTGATACTTAATTAAGTGGGATCATGTAGTATGTCTTTCTGTGACTGTTCTGTTTCAGTTAACCGTGTTTTCAAAGTTCGTCTGTGTTTAGCATGTGACAGATTTCCTTTAAAAGTGAATATTCCAGGGGCGCCTGGGTGGCTCAGTTGTTTAAGTGTCCGACTCTTGATTTCAGGTCAGCCATGATCCTCAGGGTCCTGAGATTTAGAGGGCTCCACTCCATGCTTGCTCGCTCTCCCTCAAATCTTACCCAAAAATCTGAATATTGTAGTAATAACTATGAATATTCCATTAATTGTGTATATATCACATTTTCTTATATATTTGACTGTTAATGGATATTTGGGTTGCTTCACCTCTTGGAAATTGTGAATAATGCTGTAATGAAGATGAACGTGCAGAAAGCTCTTCAAGATCCTGCTTCTAATTATTTTTGTCAGTTCCCAAAAGTCTGAAAGTTATTGTCTTGATTGACAAAACTTGTAGGTTCATCCAATTTCTACATAGTTTTTTGGCTTATGTGAGTGCATTGAGTCAGTATTAATAACTCTCTTCATTTGTAGTGATGATGATGATGATTTTGATGATGAGGAAGCGGAAGAAAAGGCTCCAGTAAAGAAAGTAAGTAGGATACAATGGTATGAGGTCCGAAACAGCTAATAACAGAAATACTGGAAATTTTTTAGTGCTTTTCACTTGTTTTGTAGTTAATGAAAGCTGCCTTGGGAGGAGTTGATGATCTCATACTTACTTTAGTCCTGAGTAGGGTTGTCATCCTAAAAACTTTCCTAGTAGTGAAGAATGATCTATTTTCTTTATCCATGGGGCCTCCTCCCACTTTATTAGTTCTTTACACCTTTTGTCAGAATGACTGCTTTTGTCTTAGCCTGACTGCCACAGACGTAGTTTTAAGGAAGTTTTTTTTGCACTCATATCTGTTGTTTAGGAGAGGGCAGTGATTAAGATTAATTTCTAATTACAGTCTATACGAGATACTCCAGCCAAAAATGCACAGAAATCGAACCAGAATGGAAAAGACTCAAAACCATCAACACCAAGAACAAAAGTAAGTGGCACCATACACATAAATGCAGCTTTCATTGTAGTAGTTAAAAAACTACAAAGTTCTCCTGTGGAAGAGGCTAGTCTGAAATTTGACATTGTTTGGAGAACCCGTGTAATTGGTGTCTTAAAGAGCCAAAGTATGCTTGTTAGTAATTACTGTCCTATGTATGACTGCTGGCATTTTAGTGGAGGAGGATGCCAACAGAAAGATTTTTACTGCATTACAAACCGTTGTGTCCTGTAAGGAGATTGTTGAAAGTATTTTATGGCATGGTACAGTTTTTCAACCCTGGCTGTGTGTTAGGATCTGACAGCTTAAAAGAACCACAGTACCTGGGCTTGGAGATTATTAGAAGCTGCAGGATGGGCCTCCAGCATATCAAGCTGCATTTACTTGCTTCATTCTTGGGGCCTCCCAGTGGTTTCCTCTAAGTGTAGAACTGATCTGGTGTTGAATTACAAAAGCAAGCTCAAAGTATTCCTATTCCTTTCTTAAGGGATGATACTAAGAATAAAAAAGTTGTTCAGATGTTAATTTGAAAGAACAGCGCAACTCTGTACATTTTATAAAGAAGGATGGTAAATAAGAGGAGTTTTTCTTGAGAAAAACCAGGTAGATAGGGGATGGGTCTTAAGAGCTATACTCTAAGGACCTTTTGAAGTTCATCTTTTTTCTCCCCCCACCCAGGGTCAAGAATCTTTCAAAAAACAGGAAAAGACTCCCAAGACACCAAAAGGACCTAGTTCTGTAGAAGACATTAAAGCAAAAATGCAAGCAAGTATAGAAAAAGTGAGTAAAAGGATCTTTAAGAACTAGATAGGTTTATTCTTCCCTATGTTAAGGTAATACTGTTGTGAAGGCTTGGAACTAGATTGCTCCTTTTTTTTTTTTTTTTCTTGCTACACCTACCTGCCCCTTTTGTGTTTTTTGTTGTTTTGTTTTCAGAAATGCATTACTTGTTTTTTCACATTTGTTTTCTAATCTCATGATTTTTTTGGTGTGTACTTGAATTTACTTGTATTTTATTTTATAAAAGAAATACAGCTAAGTTGGTTTTGAGGTTCATTCTGATCTTAAATGTGTGCAATGGTGAGTGCTGTGAATTGTGTAAGACTGATGATTCACAGACCTGTACGCATGAAACAAATAATACATTATATATTAATTTTAAAAGTTCAGTAGATTCCTTTGCTTGTTTTTTTGTTTGTAAGATGCTACAGAACCAGCAGAGGGCGTTTGGGTTTTATAAAATTATAAGCCACTGGAAAAGTGGAGACAGTGTTGTTGCTTGGTGGTGTAGCTAAAAAAACACTCATGACTGACTTTAGTCATATATTTTCCAACAAATTGGAAAATGTCTTTTTCTATTTGCTTTTTATACTGAGATATTACTGGTCAATATATGATATCTTGAATCTTTAATAATGCTTAAATTTAAAAGCCTTTTGTCTTAGTGGAAATGTGAGAAGAAGTTAGCTCTCATCCTGTTGCTTGATTGGGGAGCTCAACTAAACCTTAGTGAACTTGGACTTGTAGAATATGGAATAAATAGTTTAAAATGTTTTGAAACATTTGAGAAAGGCTATAATTCTGAATTATTACGATATAAGACCTCAATTAGTGAGAGTAAAGGCGGGATGGTGATGAAAAGTTGCTGACTCTCCTTTCCCCATGTTTTTCCTGTGCTTTCTAAGTTTTACCTGGCTTTGCTAGATGTCCTTGTGCAGTGAAGAGTCAGTTGGAAAAATAATGTTTAGAACCAGGTTGTGTTCATTTGTGCTTTGGTGCTATGGTATCCTTTCTAGGTTCTGGTAGCACGGCTTTATTATCCCTTGCATACAGTGCTAAAATGACATCTTTAAGATCCCCCCCCCCATTTTAATATGGTCCTATCTCCTTGATTTAATTACAGGCGAATTGAACAGTCCTGGGCACTACTGGTAAATTAAGCCCAAAGCTGGGGAGAGAGGAAAAGGAGAGACAAATATAGTCCATACGGACTGTCATCAACAATCCAGACTGAAGTTTCAAATTCCCTTTCCTGATTTGCCACCTACCCACATCCCCTTCCAGGCTGGAAGCAATCTCATTCTTGATCTCCTAAAGCACTTTTCTTTTGACTGCTGTGATTTCAGTGACCCCTTACACTTGGCTTTCTATGATGTGTGCAATTGCCTCACTTATTGATGATGTTTCAGTCACTTCTGTATCTCCCTAGCTGCTCAATAAATATTTTAATGAATCAAATAAGAATGTATGTGACAATAATTTAAAAATTGGAAATTACAGTAAGGTTTATTTTCTAGGTTATAGAGGTAGTTTAACTATCTTACACCATATGTCTGATCCCTAAACTGTTCGTGCCATGATTCCTTTGACATTTTGAAACCTTGATCTTTCAAAATGTGTAGAAAATTGAGGTTAAAGGAAAATTAAAATTTAGTTATAAAAAGAGGAAACAAAAAGGATATACTTAGTGTAAATAAGATCATTCAGAAGTAGTGATGAATATGAACGTCTCCGGTATTTTGCAGTAATTGCTATGTTTAAAAATACTTGGTGATGAAATATTTTGAAAATAATTTGGTGCTAATAGCATTACGATTTCTTCCCCGTATCCATAATTGATGAAGGAGGTTCCAAGTTACAATTAGTGAAATGTGGGGCTAATTTTCCCTCCCATTTGACTTCATAAACGTCCTGAACTGACTCCCAGGTTAGCATTGTGCTGAACCTAGGTTTTTAGTAAGTATTAAAACAATTTCGATTTCTTTGTATGTGGTACTCAAAAAAGGGTATACATTTGTTTTGTATTTGGTTCTGGGTGGTATATATAATACAGTAGGCAGGCAGTCGACATTTGAGGGTCTGAAGAATCTCAAGTGTAGTTTATATTTTGTATTTTTAGACAAAATATATTGTCTAAAATTGGAGAGAATTCGAGACTGATAAATGTAGCAGTATGGGACTACTATGAAAGACCTAAGGTTTTTTTTCCCCCTTTTAACTTTAAATTCAATTGATTAACACAGTGTGTAAGTTTCAAAGGTAGAGTTCAGTGATTCATCAGTCTTAAACCCAGCGTTCATTACATCATGAGCCCTCCTTAATGGAAGACCTAGCTCTTAAGTCTCGTTGCCCAGTAGGTGTTTCTGGGCCTAAAAAACAGTATTAAAATGAAAGAGTTGAATTGATATGAAATGAACCAGTGATGTGTGTAAATAGCATGAAAATCTGTGAGGAATTTCCTAATACCTCAATAACAGTGTTTCCGTACTTAACCTTAATAATGCTTTTGTCTCCTAGGGTGGTTCTCTTCCCAAAGTGGAAGCCAAGTTCATCAATTATGTGAAGAATTGCTTCCGGATGACTGACCAAGAGGTAACTGAATTTTCAGGACATAAGACCAAATCCAAGTATTTTACTGTGCCTTATTTATGATTCTTTTAGTTTAAGTATTAGCTTCTTTTAAAAGGTTCCTAACCACAGACAATACTTGAGATTAAATACATGGATACTTTTAAGGATTTAGTTGGTAGAGATTGAGAAGATAACTCTTCAGTACATTTTTCTCAGCTTTTGATAATAGTGGGTAAATTATCTTTTGGTTCCTGAACTCACTTTTAATTTTGGTGCTTTGTTGGTTAAGGAAGTAGTATTCTGTGGTTTCCTTGCTGCTCCATTTGAGTACTTGAGGTAGTCTGGACTTCGGCTTTCTTGTGAGTTGGCAGAGAAGACCATTTTCTGCTTAGGTCTTAGGGGAAGCACATTTTGCTGAAATCAACCTAAAGTGTAAAATCTGGAAGCAAGAAGCCAAATTGTAGTTAATATTCAATATCTTAGTTTGAATCATCTGTTAAGTTTTGTATTATGTGTTATTTTGTTAATAGAAAAAAATGCATTTATTTTTATTGTCTTATTTATGGTTGCTTACTCAGATTATAAAGGAAAACGTAAAAACAGGTAAGGTTCCTAGGCGTCTTATATATACAGAACACTCTGTTAAACGGCTTTTGTCAAGAATCCCCAAGCCTCAACTTTTCTCAGTAAACGAGGAAATTTTGTCAGTTGGAGTTTATTTTCTGCCAGTTATTTAAGTACTTAGATGACTTAAATGGCAGTACTGTTTATGTCCAGTTTGAAACCCATTCAGTATTTCAACACTACTATTTGTGAGGTCAGCCTTAATTGACATGGCTGTGAAATGATGAAATTCAGTTTTGCACTCTTTTGGTTGCTGTTCTGTTTGTGTATATTTGAACCCCAAAGTGCAAGTGTGAATTTTCTGAATAGTGGATATCTGTTACACAAAAATCTTGTGAAACTGCAGTATGCAGCTATTAGTTCAGTATTGTGTAGTGGAAAGTAAGATGTAAATAACAGGGAAGCACAAAACAAATGATTTCTCCCACTAGTACCAAAGGAAGTGGTGAAATAAAACTTGGAATTAAGAACAATTCAGGGGAAGAAAAAATAAACCGAAGTTGTAAAGGACTTCCACCCAGCGTATCAGTCTTGGCAGCTGAAATGACTGAATTCCTGCTTTCAGAAGTATTTTCTGAGTCTAAAACAGAAAGCCTATTCTCAAGTGCAAGGATGAAATTTCTGCAATATTCAAAAGTAGTTCTGCTTACTATTACAGAGATTTATCAAAACTATAAATATGCCTCATGTTTTTACAGCATACTTACAGATACAGGTCACAATGTGTAAACATTTTTTTCCATTGCTTGTGCAGGTTTTCTAGTGAAAGAGCATTGCTTCTGAGGATTTGGCTAGTAAAATCCCTTCCAGATGGGACTTGAGAAATACTAGCAAATCTTTGCAAATGCTCTTGAATCAGGAGTTAATGAAAACAATTGTACTGCTCTTTGTGAAGAAACAACAGATGAAATTTTGGTGAATGTTTTTGTAAAGATAAAATGTTTACTCAAAGCAGTGATGATACTACAAAAGGTGTTTTGCTGTCCTCATAATCTGCATAGTACTGCCCTGGTGGCGTCTGAGGTTTCTTTTGACTAGAGTGTCATGAGATTGTTCTTCAGCATTTATATTGAACTGAGGGAGGATTTTTGTGAGATTTACTCACGTTTGATACTCCGTTCCTTTGTGTTTGAAACCCTGTGGCTGTTGAATAATGGTATTTTTCAGAGTCCTCTATTTGAAGCCTTGAAAATCATACTTCTGAAGAAAAGATTCTAAATGTTCTTAGTGACATTTTTAAATGGTTAATTGAATAAAGCCTACGTTTAGCAGTAGGATTATGTAAATGCAGAGAAGTTCAAAAAACTTACTGTAATGTACTCCTGTTGTCTTAAAAGGAACTTGCTGAAGGCTGTAGAGTTGACAAACATCAAGACTATTATTTTTATTCATATTTTTAAAGGTTTTTTTTCTTAAGTATCTTCCATCCATCACAGGGTTTGTACCACAACCCCAAGATAAAGAGTTACCTGCCCCACCAACTGAGCAGCTGGGCATCTCAAGATACCTTTAAAAAAGAACGTTATCTATAAATAGGAATAGAAATGCTAACTTGAAGTGGATAATTAATAACTATACTTAGCCAAGACTGTCATTTGAATAATGATTCTTTTACGTGGATGTTAATACTAGCATGAGAATAAGAATTTCATCATGTGTTAAAGGAGGACATAGAAATGGACAGAGATGCTCTTTTGTCAGTAGACAACATCAAATCATTAGATTTTAAGAATGGAAAACAGATTATGTCTTGGAAGATTGGTGTTAAGTGATTTAACAAACCAGATAAGAGCAAGTGTGAGTAGTTAATCTGGTGTGTTTCAAGTAAATGTAATTTTTTTTTTAGTATGTGTCCCATAGGCTTAGAAGTAAATGTGTTTAACTGTATGTTCTGTATTTCTGCATGTTAAATCTGGCAGCCCTAAAGCAGATTACATTGGCCAAACTGGCTTCCCTACTCTTGCATTTCATTTATCTAAGCTATTAGATATATACTAGTACCATTGGCTCTGCTTACAAAGATTCACATGATTTTAGTCTGATTTGAAGTATTTGAAATAAATTATGTCTGAGTATATATTTGGTTGAAATTAGTTCTTAATTACGTAGTAAACCTTTTTGGTGGTAAGATGAAAAATAGATAATGTTGAACTGTACGAAGAGATGTGGTTTAATTTATTGGTGTCTATGAAATGTTGTGGTTCTTTAACCGCATTTCTTTTTTTTCCAGGCTATTCAAGATCTCTGGCAGTGGAGGAAGTCTCTTTAAGAAAATAGTTTAAACAGTTTGTTAAAATTTTCCGTCTTATTTCATTTCTGTAACAGTTGATATCTGGCTGTCCTTTTTATAATGCAGAGTGAGAACTTTCCCTACCGTGTCTGATAAATGTTGTTCAGGTTCCATTGCCAAGAATGTGTTGTCCAAAATGCCTGTTTAGTTTTTAAAGATGGAACTCCACCCTTTGCTTGGTTTTAAGTATGTATGGAATGTTATGATAGGACATAGTAGTAGTGGTGGTCAGACAAATGGAAATGGTGGGGAGACAAAAATATACATGTGAAATAAACTCAGTATTTTAATAAAGTAGCACTGTTTCTCTTTCTGTTATTTACCCTTCTTATACTTTGTCAAAGAAATAAGTGTACATAGTTTAAAAAGTGTCAAATACTATCCTAAAATCCCTTCCCTACCCTTCCAAATAGATCTGCTTCTTGGAGTTAAACCCATCTATTTTTCATCTTGAGCATTTCATGTTTAAAACTTCCCACTTCTTAATAACAGATGATAATTATGACCATGCAGGTGTGTTTCCAAGTGTTCAGACCACCTATCCACTTTAGCCCAGTTTTTACTGGTAAAATCTGGCAAGTTGAACATGTTGGAGCAGCTTTTCTCAACGTGGGTTCTTCATCTAAAGGGGAACGAATTCTGTTGACTTTTTTTAGTTTGCCCAAAAACGCACATAATTTACACATTTTTAAATCTGTAGGAGAAAGATTAATTTATTGCATGTGGTGGTTACATGAGGACATTTAGGGGCTAATTCTTGGCATCTTTTATCTGTTTTACCCTGTGCCAATTGTATGATGGTTCTGTCAGATTACTCTTCTTCCTCTTGTTTTGCTGTGGTGTCTCCCAGTAGTTGGCTAATACCTGGAGGAAGTATTTTTTGACTACTTTTAATCTGAAAAGTCCATTTTTGACACAATTCACTGCTGCTAAATCTTCTCAGAATTTTAATTGTGCCCTTTCTGGCTTACTCTTGCCATTTTCATGTGTTTGTCTAGGACCAATTTTCCTGAGAACTGATTAAGAGTGCCCTATTGCTGGTTTCCTGAAATTTTATAATTTGTCTTATTCTGGGCCCTGGGTAGACTGGGTCTGTTCTCTAGGGAGTCTCTAGTTTGGGGCCATGTTCTTCGGGGAGATTTTGCTCTCCTGTTTAAAGTCTGTCTGTTCTTGGGCCTTTGGTTTGATGCTCTTGGAAGTTTTTCATCATTGCTTTTTGTTTTCACTTAAGGAGGAAGGACTATTTTATGTCTTCAAATTTGTGTTGGTTTTATTAACTTCCAAATGCTTTTTGGTGTTTGGGGGATATACTATTTGAAGTTTGAAGAAGCCCTTTTCACCCATGCATTGTTTACTCGAGTTTTGTTTGTTTTTACCCTTTGTCTTTTATATTGATTAGGAGAATAGCTGTCTTTGATGAGGCTGTAGTTCCAAATACTTTGATGAGAATGAGCAGGTGTCAGCTTTTTAATCTTTGTATTGGTTTTGGTAGAGCATCCCTATTTTTTCATTTTACTTTTTAAAGTAGGCTCCATGTCCACCATGGGGCTTGAACTCACGGCCCTGGGATCAAGAGTCAGAGATGCCATATGGGCTGAGCCAGCCATCAGGTGCTCTTGAGTAACTTTACTATGGAGGGTAGAAAGGGTTGGTGCAGTACTGTCTTTCTAATCCCACTTGCCAGGCTTCAGGTGTCTCTTCTAGTCATTTACTTTAGATTTTGGTTTTCTTCATTGATTATTTAATTTCCTTTTCAAGGTGTCTGTCCTTGTAGTTTCTCTTTTTATATCTTTAATGGAGATTCAGTTGGAAATGGCAAATGTTCATTGTTCTTAATTTGACTTAAAAGTACCTCTTATTTTAAAGGATGTTTTATGCTTAACATTCGTACTTTAAATTGATAGACTACCAAAACGCTTAGCCTGCATGTGAATTTGAAAAAGTTACTGGTCTTAAATAGTGCCACAGAGTGCTACCAAGAACTAAATACATTAAAGTTGAGTCATTCCTTCCCCAGATAGTGTTTTGCATGACAGTACGTGATGATGTAGGACTATATTATGTAATTAGTTACTTAAAATGTTCAGAAGTAGAAGTATACTTGGAATATAAGGTCTTAACCAAAATGTAGGTCTGAACTGTTTTGAGTTGCTTTGTCTAGACGTTAACCCTTGGGTTTAGCTGATGGGTACCTAATGTACCAGGAAGACCAAAAGGACTTCTTCCCATTCTGAGAGAAAGCTGTTGGCCTTACTGGTGGTTGTTTTTTGCACATTAAATAAAGCCTATCAGATCCATCTTTGTAAAAGATTCTAGGTAGGGCAGGTTTTCTTGTGCCTCTGAAGTCACTTAATAGTGCTTGGTACTGGACTTCAGCCAACAAAATATGTTAATCTGAAAATTGAACTCTTAGGCTTGTGACTGAAAATTCTTCCTTTAAAAAACACTTGTGCAATGCAAACTGTTAAGTGAGTTTGGCCATATTTAGATCAATATTGGTTTAATTACTAAAAAATAAATACAATTAAGGTACTTAGGGAAAGCTAAAGATTTTTAATCAAAGCATTTTTAGTTTTCTAAGACTAATTAGGAAAAAAGCAATTCTTTCCCTTTGTCCCTAGTGCTTTTTTTTTTCCCCCAAATTTATGGGACACCTGGGTGGCTTAGTTGGTTAAGTGTTTGCCATTGGCTCAGGGTCTTGATCCCAAGGTCCTGGGATCAAGTCCTACATATGCTCTGTCTCTCTCTAACAAATAAGAAATCTTAAAATTTTTTTCTTTTTGTTAGAGTGAGTGCACAAGAAGGGGACACTGCAGGCAGAGGAAGAAGTAGGCTCCCAGCTGAGCAAGGAGCCCAGTGTGGGACTTGATCCCAGGACTTTGGGATCATGACCCAAGCCAGTGGCAAGACACGTCACTGACTAAGCTACCCCGGTGTGCCCCTAGTACTAATTTTCTTTTTAAAGATTTATTATAGAGAGAAGGGGAGAAGGGGTGGTGGGAAGGGGCAGAGGGAAAGAATCTAGAATCCCCACTGAGCAGGGAGTTTGAAAAAAGGGGCTTGGTCTTAAGATCTTCAGATCACATGACCTGAACTGAAATCAAGAAGCGGCCACTAACTAAGCCACTCAGGCACCCCAAATCTTGATTTAAAGTAGTAGAGGGACCTGTAAGAGAAACCTGGTTTATTTTCCGTAATTTGGGGAATTTATAGTAGGTATACCAGGTTGTTTTTAACTTTTTAAACATGTATTATTTGCTTCAGGAGTACAGGTCTATGAATCATCAGTCTTAACAATTCACAGCATTTCTTGATGGAATAACTATTATTTCCCTTTCTTAAGCCAGTCTCCAAGATACGAACATTTAATGGCTTAGTTCTTTAGCAGTACCATTCACAATTTGCAGGCATTTTTAAAAAAAATCCCCACTTGTATTGCCTCTGTACCTGACTTTTAAAAAAACAAGTATTTGGATGTTCTTTACTAATTTTCAGAATGATGGATTGATGTTCTTTCATCAGAGCAACCTCTGAAAGTAGTTTTAGTTAAGTATCCTGGATTCAGATTTTTTTATATATTGGTATTTTGCTCTTAGATTTTTTTTTTTGGCTTTTGGGAATCCCCTTTGAGCTTGTTCCTACCATCACAGACTCTAGTAGTCTGATAGTGTCTTGCTTTCTAGTGAGAACATTTTCCAAGTTCATCTTCATTTTCTTTCTCAGACCTGGAATGATCCATTTCTTGTAAAGAATGGCAGGGGTGCCTGTGTGGCTCAGTCGGTTAAGTGTCTGACTTTCAGCTTGGGTCATGGTCTCAGGGTTCTGGGATGGAGACTTGCATGGGGCTCCCCACTCAGTGGGGAGTCTGCTTCTCCCTTTCCTGCCCCTCCCCCTGCTCATGTTTGCTCGCTCTCAAAATCTTGTAAAATAAAAAAGAATGGCAGTTAGGAACAGTCTGGGTGGGTGGTGATCATTAGCTTCACTTTATGGATGATCAGGTCAGACCCTTTGCAAAAGTAATGGAGTTGTCAGAGCATTTAGAGGGCAGTGACATAACTTGGGTAACTGAGAGAAGCTTCTCTTCACTTGATACCTTGGTCATGTAAGGTTGTGATACCTTGGTCATGTAAGGTTGTGTTACCTTCAGTTTCAACCACAACAAAATAATGCCATTTGGGGAGAACAGATCAGACTGTCTAAATGGATTTATGCAAGTAATAATAGTATGAGGTTTATAGTGTCACAAAGCTGTAGAAGCTTCTAGGTGGTCTTGACAACCAGTAGCTTAAATGAGGGAGATAAATAGTCTAGGGTGTGGGGCTTTCCTTGGAAATGGTCCAAGAAAAGTTGAGGGTCACCACACATGGAGCTGCTGAATAAAAGGTAGTGGTCTGGGCTCTGGAAATAAAAGGTCACAGTTTGTTTTTGTTTTAATTTTTTAAAATTCCAGTATAGTTAACAATAAAGGGTTAATGTTATTTCAGAAAGTCTAAGGCTACCTTCCAGCCAGTTCTTGCCAGAGCCAGTTGCTCCCTGACTCATGCATTTGGCAGTAGAGGTCCTGTTTAATGCTGTGAAAGTTCTAAGAGCTGGTTCTGAGAAAATATCAGAGCCTTGTGTGTACTAAGGGTCTGTCTACTATTGAAGGCTTGAGGCTCTGTTCTGTGTTCTTAGGCTGGAGGTTCTCCTATTTTTCTGTATCCAAAATACTTGTATTCTACAAACTCCCTGAATTTTGTGAGTCTAAGTTGGAGAAAAGTGGAAAATAAATATCAGGTTGCTGTGGTGTATATTACTTTCACACTTCAAAAAGATAGGAGAAATCTAAAACATTTACATACTCTGTCCCAAAGTTCTAGGTAGGTGTTCAGTCAGAAAGCAAAAAAAGTTAACTGCCCTGTGGAGTATACATCCCATTGCACTAGCAGTCAATATACATTCTCAGCTCTCTTTAAGATTTTCAGTTCTGCATAAGAAAAGGGGGTTAACAGATGAGAATCTACTCAGAAAATTGTAAATTACAACTGACAACTGGGAATTGGATGTAGCACACAGCCATCCATCCCAAGCTACAGTTGCCTAGACTGGTGGTCATAGCCTTGGCCTCCCAACTGCCACAGTTGGACCTTTCCAATTCATTCTTCACTTTAGCACCTGTGATAAGCTTTTGAAAACAAATTCATTTTGACCATGAGCTTCAAAGCCTTTGACACTGATTGCCAAAAAATTAGTATATCCACGCTGTTGAGTACTACTTGGTAATAAACTAATAGCAACAATGAGGGTGACTCTCAAAAACATACTGAACAAAAGAAGCTGGCCACAAAATAGCACATAATACAGGGTTCAATTTATGTTGTAGCATCTAGTGCCAACAAATGTTAATTTGGGACCAGCAATGGGTATGGGGAGGATGCCTTAGGTGTTTATACATAGATCTGTGTTAAACTCTGAGCACACTTGAAACAGATGGACTTAAAAATTGTACATAAAATAGTGCCTTTAAAAAGATATTGGCTACCTGTTGGCCTCTGAGAACCTATGAGGTAGGATCAAGCATTTGCTTATTTTTACCCTGAACTTCTGCCATTCACCCCTGGCTAATCATGCCTGTTAACCTAGTTTGTTTCTACTTGTAGGCACTTGATGTCTTTTGCTTGGAATATCCCTTTGCATGGCTAGCTCTCCTCACCTCTGCAGCTTAGCCCAAGTATTACTAGAGGCTTTCTCTGTCCCATTGGTTTTCTTCAAAGCACCGATAAGCTAGAATTTCTCTTGACTTCCATTACTTCCCATTTTCCGTAAAAGTGAAGTGGCTTTTTTAGAAGAGGAAGTCTGTCTTCACCCATGGCCTGACAGTAGGTTCAATAAGTCATGATTGGATGAATTGATGAGAAGTGACTACCAAATCAGTGCTACATACTAAGTTAATACGAATGTGTCAAGTTAATATAGGAAAACTTCATATGAAAATCATGTATATAGTAAGTAGATATGTGAAAACTAGATTAGAGATGTAAGTGGTAAAAAATTTGATTAAATGACGAGCTGGAGTCAGAAGACATCCTGGTTGGATGCCTCTTCAACTGTAAGTTGAGAATGATACTCCCTACTTCGTGAAGTCATGAAGAAAGTGAAAATCTGAGAAACCTAATTAAAATTATTAATAATGGCTAAAACCTTTGGAGCTTTTCTTTCTTTTTTTTTTTTAAAGATTTTATTTATTTATTTGTCAGAGAGAGGGAGAGAGAGCGAGCACAGGCAGACAGAATGGCAGGCAGAGGCAGAGGGAGAAGCAGCTTTCTGACGAGCAAGGAGCCCGATGCGGGACTCGATCCCAGGACGCTGGGATCATGACCTGAGCCGAAGGCAGCTGCTTAACCAACTGAGCCACCCAGGCATCGCTGGAGCTTTTCTTATGTGCCAGACTCTGAATGACCTCATTCAGTAACTGAAAACAACTCTCGAGTTGTTACTGTTCTTAGCCATGGTTTGTAGATGAGGAAGCAGAGTCTCAGACTGTTACTTGTTGGAATTTATAAGTAAATGTTGGAGGTGATATTCAAATCGAGGATTTCTGACTCTTGAGTTCATGCTCTTACTCAGAACTGTTCTCTTGACTGGACTTTTTTTGTCAGTCTTTATTTGGGTGATAGAAGAGTAATAGAAAGTAGTAATGGTATGATAAGCAAGACCAATCCTGGCAATGAGAATGTCTGTTCAGCTCAGCCCTCCACAGGAGCCTTCCCTGTCACCCAGCACTTAGTTTTCAAAAGGTTTTCTGCTCTTGTGTCTAATGCTGAAACAGACAACCTGTTTCAGAGCCTCAAGTGTGAATGGGAGCTTAACAAGAGCTTGCAGAGAGGGCTGGTACACGGAACAGTCATTTCCTGTTTGACAGCAGCTACCCGTTTATGCTCTAGTACAGTGGGGTTATCAACCACTGCCAGCGACACCAGGTTTTTAACCGAATAGTATGGATTCCTGAATTTTGCTTTTTGAGTTTGTTTCCCACTATGATCTCTCCCTCAGCGTCAAGGCCAAAGGACAGCCTGTCAGCAGTTCTAGAGAGGAAGCAGTTGCATATGACGACACCAACATTTTGAAGTTGGGAGTGTTGCCCCTGAAGCGGGGAGAGGCGGGGAGAAGAGATATCCTTATTGGAGTCGTGGTTAAAGGAACTTGTTTCCAAACGGAAACAAGTCTCAGCCAGGTGGCCCATGGAGGACCTGGAGTGGTCGCTGACCAGAGTCCTGCTGGTAGCTCCCTGCTAGCCCTCCCGGGCAGGGGTTGCAGCGACGCCTCGGGGCCGCTAGGTGGCAGCCGCGCGTTTCCAAAGCTGGCTTGCCTACCAGAGCCAGCTGGGAGCCCTGAGAACAGACCCGAGAGCTCCGGAGGGGGGGTGAGGGGGAGAGAAGTCCTGGAGACCCCCTCCCCCGCAGCGGCAAGGACGGAGAGATCAGACGGGGTCTCAGAGTGCTAGCCGTCCGAGAAGGCATCTGGGACACGCCACGGTCCTGCGCGGACTCACCGAGCGGATGAAAGCGAACCCCCTTAAACGGAGCCGCCCCGGGGGCTGGGCCTGACCCGCCCCCTCCCGGCTCCCCACTCAAGCGCTAGTGGGTGTGAGTGAGTGCTAGTAGCGAATGTGGGTGAGTGAGGACGCTCCTCACCTAACTGCATTCTTGGGGACCGCCGCCTTCCCAATACGGGCAGTATTTGCGCCGCCGCGGCGCGGGTCATTGCGCCTGGGCGCAGAGCTCCGACGGCTTCCAGCGCTCACCAGCTCCAGCCTCGCGGGCTCTGCCCTTTCGGAGCTGCCGGTCCCGTCTCCGAGAGTCAGAGCACCTCCCTCCAACCCCGAGCCGCCAGGAGGAGGAGGAGGCGGTGGAGAGGCCGCGGCAGGCAGGCAAGCAGGCTGGGCCGCCTTTGATGTGGGCGCGGCGCACCCAGCCGAGCTGAGCGCCCGTCCGGCCGCGCCCCGAGGGGGGAGCCCCCGGGCCCCGCATCCTCATTGTGCCGACTCGGGCCCGGGCCCGCCCCCGGCCCCCCGCCCCCTCGCCGCCCGCGCGTAGAAAACGCCCCGGCCGCCGCCAGTGGTGGGAGGCGGCGATGCGCTCGGCCGGAGAGACGCGGAGGAGGAGACATGAGCCGGCGGGCGCCCAGACGGTGCGGCCGTGACGCGTTCCTGCTGCAGCCGCGCGCCCCGGCCCTGGAGCGCTGACCTCTGGCCCCGCACAGCCCCGCGCCCCGGCCGGAGATCGCGTCCCAGCTTCCAGCCCCGCCGCGCATGCTGCCCCCGGAGTGAACCGAGCAGCCAGCCTCCCGTGGATGCCCGGACGGACGGCCGGCCAGCAGTGAGCAAGCTTCCCCGCACCAGTCGGGCGCCTCCTGCACAGCGGCGGCCACCCCGTAGCCCCCGCGCCAGCCCGGAGGGCGCAGCGCTCGGGAGGAGCCGCGCGGGGCGCTGATGCCGCAGGGCGCGCCGCGGAGCGCCCCGGAGCAGCAGAGTCTGCAGCAGCAGCAGCCGGCGAGGAGAGAGCAGCAGCAGCGGCGGCGGCGGCGGCGGCGGCGGCGGAGGCGCCCGGTCCCGGCCGCGCGAAGCGGACATGTGCAGGCTGGGCTAGGAGCCGCCGCCTCCCCTCCGCCCAGCGATGTATTCAGCGCCCTCCGCCTGCACTTGCCTGTAAGCGCCCGCGCGCGGGGCTGCCTACCCTGCCTGGCCGTCTGTCCGTGTGCCTGTGACTCTGTCGCCCGCCCGGCCGTTCGTCTGACTTTCCGACTGCGTATCCGTCTGTCTGTCCGCGCGCCCCCCTCCCTCAAGTCCCACTGACCACCTCTCCATCTCTCTCCTGCAGGTGTTTACACTTCCTACTGCTGTGCTTCCAGGTACAGGTACGTAGGATCCTGACTCTGACCTCCCCCTGCCCCTACCTCGCGGTACAGGCCGAACCCCCTCCCCTGGGCCGCGCCCCCTCCTTGTGCCCCACCCCTACTGGGCGCCGAGCCCAATGCACCTGTTCCCAGGGCGCCAAAGGGCGGCTCCGCGCGCGCCCAATGCCGGCGGGGGACCAGCCAAGGGCAAGGGGCTCTGCTGCAGGGCTCAGACTGGCGCGGCCCCAGTTGGCCTCGGCTGGGAGGAGATCCCTGGAGCCAGCGGACTCAGCCGCTGCAGTGTGCCCCGCTCCAAACCCCCTGCCCACAACCGGGGAGGAGTTGGGACCTGGGGATTTTTTCTGCCAACCGTCCCTTAATATCTCCGCTCGCTCTTCCAAACAAAAAGGCTCCTTTGAGCCGAATGGATTTTGAGTCCAGGGAGAAAGCTTCAGTTGTAAATTACTCTGTGGTTTCAAAGGCGTTTGCAGGGAGGAGAGGGAGAGAGAGGGAGGGGGGAGAGAGACAGGTCTAGGAGAGACTCGGTGAAAGGTAGCAGAGACGGGCGCTCAGGCTGCGAGGCCATTGCCCTTGAAGCCGCTCCGGAATGGGCCACGCTCCGCACACCCTCACCCAAGGTGGTGCAGCCCTGGGCTGGTTCCTCGCTTTGCTCCCCGCTCGCTCGCTCTCTGTGAATCAGAAGAGGGCTTGGCGCTCAGCCTGGAAAGCACTTGCTAAAATCTGATCTGTTACTTCAGCAGCTTTCAGACTCGGGAAGGTCTTGGCACGCAGACAGTTGGAACGCTCTGGCTTCCAAAGCCGTGGAAATGAAGGAAAGGGGGGGGGGCGCAGAGAAAGAGAAGAGGGAAAGAGGGAGCGACTTCAGCCCCGATTAGAACCAGGCCAGGGCTGCCTCAGCATGGTTTGGGGGGGGGGCAAAGAAAAGGGGAATAGGAAGTGCCAGCTGCCCTAGCCCCCCACCCACCTAGAGCTGCAAGAGAGGGAACTTAGGAGGAGCTGGATTGGGGCCAAAAGAGATTATCTGCCCCTTCCCCTCTGGGTTGAAGGCAGGTGTCCTCACAGGGTTAGAGAGGATGCTTAGGTTTTAGCCTTTTGGGTTCCAGAGGTGCCCCAGAAGAAACTTGAGCAGGGAAAATGGTGGCTCTCCCAGCTTTATGGCATAAGGAATGGTGTGTGTGTTGAGTGCTTTTGAGACCCAGTAGCCTCTTTCAGTGCTTGGTGTGGAGGTGGGTCTGCTTACCTCCCCTTGCACTCCTGGGAGAGGATCCTTACCATCAGGATGGACATTGGGCTGGGGGAAGCTAGTTGGGGCTGGGGGCTGTGAGGATGGCTGGCTGGCTGGCTGGATGGATGGACGGACAGACGGACTGATGGGTTCTTTCCCCTAGCCTGGGCAGGCTGTGGTCCCCAGTGACTCCTTGAATCAATATAACTGGAGTCAGTAACTTAAAACTGGCTGTTTGCCAAAGCAGATGTGACCCTGTGGTGGCGGGGGCAGGGGTGGGAATGGCTGGTGTCAAAGAGAGAGGCCAGTGCCAGGCATGACCTGCTTGATTTGCAGCTGAGTCCCCAAGCAGAGGGCAGGCCCCAGGGTCATTCCAGGGGATCTGCCTGTCTGCCTTGGGTGAGAGTTCTTCTCCTGCATGTTGTACCTGGGGATGGGGGAATGCTGCAGTGGCCACGGGGGTAGAGAGAGGTCTCTGCACTCCTGCTGCCTGCTGCCTCTCTGTCCTTAAAGCAGGCCCAGGAGGGGCTGCTGTGTCATCGTTGTGTTCTCCAGGGAAGCACAAGGGAGGGAACCTGAACTCTGCATCCCACCTCGACCTCCTGGACTACAGCTAGAGCCAGCCTCTCAGGAAAGAGCTGGGTGGTCCATCTGGGTTAGGACTTCAAGCAGGTGATGGAGCCTCCTCTCCCCCCTCTCTCACCTCTTCCTTTCTTTTCAGACTTTCCCCATCCAAACTCCCGTAAGACTGATGAATTTAACCCATGGTCCAAGCACCCATAGAATCTCTAAGGATGGGATTCTGGAGGAGGCAGGCCCCTGATATGTCGCATCAAAATGGTGCCCAAATGTGCCCGTGTTTTGGAGAGGGCTCTCAGCTCCCCACAGATTTTTCAAAAGCATCTACGATTCCTAAAAGATAAAGAAAGGGCAGGCTCATGTCCCCATTCATGGTCTAAGAACAAAGGTGTAGTGGCCATTAGAGGTAGAGATGAGGAGTGGGGGGTGGGCTTCAAGTGTTCGTAGCTGGGAGTGTGAAGCCTGCTCCCTGCTGAGGCGGGCACTGGGCAGGCAGAGGGGAGAGCAGCTACTTCCCTGGTGGGGTACACTTAGAGAGGGGGACAGGAGCTCCCTTGGTGAGCAGGGGCTGGGAAAGGCCTCCTTGAGTGGTGGGAAGGGCTCAGAGTTTAGCAGCCTGGTGGTCTGGGCCTGAGCCCCAGACTCATCTTTCCTCAGCTGTAGACCTCTGTAAGTCTGAGCTCATCATTTGTGAGTGGGTAGACTTGAGGCTGAAGCGATACATGACAGGTACGGAAAAAGGTGTGGAGAATCTCACCCACCCAGGAGCGTATGTTGTTCTGCTGGGAAATGGATATATCTATGCCCTTCCCATCCGCACCTCCCTGGTTTGGGGGACTGCTCCAGTCTTAGCAATAGAGTTTCTGGGCTCTTCTTTTCTCCCCATCCATCAGCCATCAGGCCCAGAATGGGCCCCCACCTCCAGACGCATTTTCGAGAGAACACAACGGTCAATGCCAGACACTGCCTTCCCCCTCAGTCCCCCATGGGGTGAGCCCTGCCCCCCCCAGCCCCTGCTGGCCACCCCAGGAAGCAGGAAGCTGGGAATTTAATAAAATCCCTTGTCCACACGACTTGGGACACCGCGGATAGCTCAAATCGGAAGAAGTTTAAAAATTTCCGAGGGGAGCAGGCGGCGTGACCAGCAAATTGCTTTTCTGCACTTGGCTGAGCGCTGACAGTGACACGGGGCTGGGCCTTTCACACAGCTTGGCCGGCACCTGCCTGACATTGTTCCTACCGCCGGGCTCGGCTAGGTCCTGGCCTTCCCCAGATAGGCCAGGCTTGAGGCGGGCCAGGGAAGGGGGGCTTCCGCCACCCACCCGCGGTCACTCCCACAGCACCGTTCCTCTCTCACCGCCTGGTTTGTTCAAGTTTTGAAGTTTCCTTCCACACCCCCTCTGGACCTGACCACCCCCTACACCTGACTTCCTCTGGGAGGTTTAGAACCCTTCTTCTAGCTGGCTAGAATAGGAAAGCCAGAGACAGAGTCCTTTGGGACATGAGGAAGATGGGGAACTGTCCTGTTGAGTAGCACTTTTAGCTTCTTAGGGCGGTGACATCATCCATCCATGTCCAGTCAGGTGTTTGTTCAAAACTCTGCTTCTTGCTGAATCTGAGAACATGTCTAGTCAGTTCCTGGCCTCAAGATGCTCCCATTCTAAGGGGGGCAGGGGTGGGCTGTGATCCTGCCTCCTGAGAAGTACAGTGGGGCAGGCATATCCTGTTCTGTCCAACCAAGCAAGACTCCAAGGCTCTTGAATCCAGAAGCTTGTTTCCTTCTTCCTGTCATTTTTCCTCCTGAAGTAGGTGGGGTAATATTCCTACTTCACCGTTGGAGAGACTGAGGCCCGGAGTGGGAAGGGATTTGTTCAAGGCCAATGCTAAGACTCAAGACTCTGGATTCAAGGTCTTGTATTCTTTCCATGACACCAGACAGACTTCTTCAGAAAGAATACCGGTGGGGCAATGGGAGTTCCAAGGGGCGTGCTAGGGGTTCTCAGTGAGATCTTCCCCTTGGGTTCTTGCCCGTAGGGTATCCACGGTACAGATGATCAGAACCGAGATAGGTGTCTCTGACAGAGGGCACCTGACTTGGAGTCTGCAGGCCCTGGTTTTCGTAGAATGTTCTGGACTGAAAGGGTCCCAGAGCCATAGGTGGGTGTTTAGGAGGGCAGGGCCTGGGGGATTCTGTACTCCCCTCCCAGCTTCATTCCCAGCAGGGAAGGGAAGGGGACACTCTACCAGCATTCCTGTAGCCCAGTAGCGTCACCCGCTCTGAGATAAGGAGGTAGATTGTTTAAATATCTTGTGGTTGTCTCTGCCAGTGTCAGCAGGCGTGGGAGAGCTCTGAGGTCACATTGGGCCCCCAAAGGGAGATGGAAGGTGACAGGGAGGAGACTTCCTAGCCTCAGCAGGACCTTCTGGCTCCGACGTGGTCTTCTAGCAGGAGACGTGTAGGTGTGGGAAATCAGGGTGCAGACCCATCAGGCTGACAGCGATACTTAGAGCCACCACCAGGCACACTGTCCTTGCCATGGGGCAGGCAGGCACTTCCTCGCATCATGGAGGCTCAGCCTCACAACCAGCCTGCGATGAGGGAATTCTGCAGAAAAGAAAGCGAGGCTCAGAGGCATGACATAACCGGCCTCTGGCCACACAGCATGAGAGATGCAGAGCTGGCCTCGACTCTGGGTCACCCGGCTCCAGGCCCCAGGTTTATGAAACAGCAGTATGAGGGTTCTGTATGAGGGTTCTGGCAGGTCCCAGCCTTGTTCCAGTGGTCACCCTGACTTACCTTTGCTGTATGACCTTGAGCAAGTTACTTAACCTCTCTGGTCTCAGCTTCTGCATGTGTAAAATGGAAAGAAAACTACCAACAGAACGATCCCTGCTCCGTAAAGGTGGAGAGCAAGGGTCAGCACACCAGCCCCTGGGTCTCTTGTTTGGGGAAGCCTCCCTTGCCCCCATGCCCATGTCAGTGTGGCGAGCTCCCCTTCCCCAGGGCCCCATCACCTCCTGGTGACAACGACAGGGGAGATGTGGATGGGTTCCTCTCTGGGGGTAGCGGCTCTCTTCCACCTCTGTGTGCCCCATTTTTTTTTTTTTTTTTTTTTTTTGCTGGGTCATGTTGCTGACCACTCACAAGGACTGTGGCCAAACACTCAGGGATAGGGCAGTGCCAAGGGCCTTGCCA